GATCCTGGACGGGCAGCTGAAGGTCCACTTGGTCCTGGACGACCCCGCAGGGAACAGCTACCTCCAGGTAATGAGGTGGCACCAGGGGCAGAAACAAGGGCCAGGCGGTCATCGGCAGAGGTCCTTTTGAACCGTTACGTCCTTTGGGGAGGGCGTTGCACTGACAAAGGGGGAGGCACGGCAGAGCAAATAGCAGGAGGCGCAAGGCTTTGTGTAGGTCGCTTGGAGCCTCCTTTGAGGAGAGGAAACACCGGTTATAAATCAATAACAACAACAAAACTTTATTTATATACCGCTCTTATCTCCCTGAGGGGACTCAGAGCGGTTTCTAAGTAACGTCATCAATACATACAAAGTAAACAACACAAACATAAAATTAACAAGACTATTTATTTATTTATTTCCAACATTTATATGCCGCCCTTCTCACCCCGAAGGGGACTCAGAGTGGCTTACAAGGTGTATATACATAAAATATATTATTAGCATAGTACAAAATATCAGTTTTAAGTATTGCTATATTGCACTATATCAATTATACTGTAATATTATTAGTAATATTACATGTAATATAAATATATAATTATAATATCATATTATTATTACTATTATATTGCATTACATTACAATATTAAATATTATATGTATATACAATATATTATTTTATTAGAATAGCACAGGAGACAAGGTGGAACTGTCCCCTCCCCCCCCCCCCACTCTGGCCCAGAGAGGCAGTTGGTGCTGGGGGGAGGGGTCCCCAAGTGATGGCATATGCAGGAGACAAGATGGTGCTGTCCCCTGGACAATATAAGCATAAAAAAATCACAATATTTATTTATTTACGACATTGATATGCCGCCCTTCTCACCCCAAAGGGGACTCAGAGCGGCTTACAAGGTATATATTCCATATAATATATTATATGATTAGCATAGTACGATATCAGCATTAAACATTGCTATATTGCACCATACCACTATATCGTAATACGATTAGTAATAGTACATGTAATATAAAGATGTAATTATAATATTGTTATTGTTATTATTATTACATTGCATTACATTATAATATTATAAATATTATATTTATATACAATATATTATATTGTATTACATTAAAATTTATATTATATTATGTTATTAGAATAGCACAGGAGACAAGTTGAACAATAGCACATATATATTTATAATAATAATAATAATAACAATAATAATAATGTAGTATTGACATTCAGTGAAGGGCAATTGGTCCTGTTTGTTCTGCGGAAGAGAAAGAAAGCCTTTCTTTGCTCTGGGCATCCAGAGATCAGCGAGTTTTGTGACTCTGGGGCCCCTTCTACATATGTTTAAAATCTACAGAGATGCAAACATTACGGCAGAATTAAACATAACAGTATTTGCTTTTGAGAAGCAGTTCAAGGGAAGGGAGGGAGGTGTCCTTGCATCATTGCATCGTTGCCGGGGGGTTCTGGTTCTCATTCCTAAGACAGACCCCCTTTCTGCTTGCAGAACGTTTACGCTCCCGAGGAAGACCCCGAGATGGCCGTGGAGCGCTACGAGCGGAGCTTTGAGCAGAACGAGGAGTTGGGCCTGAACGACATGAAGACGGAGGGCTACGCGGAAGAGGCCCCTCCCCAGCGGTAGCAGCACCCTCTTCACGGCCAGCGGAGGGACTCCTCTTCGGAGGTGGACATTTGCCCCCTGCAAGCCTGCCCATGCATTAAAGCTCAGTGAGGGCTCGGTTGGAGNCCACAGCCACATACAGACCCACAAGAATATTGGAAGACAATCATCCTCGGAAAGCGAGGGATCGCCTAAGTATATCGCATTCTAAGAGTGAGGCAGAAGCGAGGAGAGATTTAAAGGCACCTGTTGCACCCCAGAACAGGAATAACTCTCTGACTTCAAAACACCACATGTTGAGTAGGAAAACAATCCTTTTTTTATTGAAGACTAGCTTGGGGACCCGGCGGTGCCCAAGTTATTTGAAAAAGGCATTGTGTGCCAAGGTTGGTCTTTATCAGTTATTTATGTGACTTGCAGTTGTCTCAGGAAGTTAGTGAAGGTTCTGCGAGTCCCATCATCCATGGTCCATCCTCCTCTAAACAGTACCAGGATGTAGAGTGGGTCATGGGGGCTCTGTGTGCCAAGTTTGGTCTTGATCAGTAATTGGAAGAGGGTCGCAGCAGTCTCGGGAAGTGAGTGAACGTATTGCAAGCCCTGTCATCCATGGTCCATCCTTTCGCAAACTGCACCAGGATGTAAAGTGGGTAATGGGGGTTCTGTGTGCCAAGTTTGGTTAAGTTAAACAAAATGCAAAGATACAGAATGGGGGGTTCCTGGCTCGAGAGCAGTACGTGTGAAAAAGATCTTGGAGTCCTCGTGGACAACAAGTTAAACATGAGCCAACAATGTGATGTGGCAGCAAAAAAAGCCAATGGGATTTTGGCCTGCATTAATAGGAGCATAGTGTCTAGATCTAAGGAAGTAATGCTCCCCATGCTCTATTCCGCTTTGGTTAGACCACACCTGGAATATTGTGTCCAATTCTGGGCACCACAATTCAAGAGAGATATTGACAAGCTGGAATGTGTCCAGAGGAGGGCGACTAAAATGATCAAGGGTCTGGAGAACAAGCCCTATGAGGAGCAGCTTAAGGAGCTGGGCATGTTTAGCCTGAAGAAGAGAAGGCTGAGAGGAGATATGATAGCCATGTATAAATGTGTGAGAGGAAGCCACAGGGAGGAGGGAGCCAGCTTGTTTTCTGCTTCCCTTGAGACTAGGACGCGGAACAATGGCTTCAAGCTACAAGAGAGGAGATTCCATCTGAACATTAGGAAGAACTTCCTGACTGTGAGAGCCGTTCAGCAGTGGAACTCTCTGGTGGAGGCTCCTTCTTTGGAAGTTTTTAAGCAGAGGCTGGATGGCCATCTGTCAGGGGTGATTTGAATGCAATATTCCTGCTTCTTGGCAGAATGGGGTTGGACTGGATGGCCCATGAGGTCTCTTCCAACTCTTGGATTCTATGATTCTATGATTCTAGGATGTAGAGTGGGTCATGTGGGCTCTGTGTGCCAAGTTTGGTCTTGATCACTAATTGGAAGAGGGTCGCAGCAGTCTCGGGAAGTGAGAGAACATATTGCAAGCCCTGTCATCCATGGTCCATCCTTTCTCAAACTGCACCAGGATGTAAAGTGGGTAATGGGGGTTCTGTGTGCCAAGTTTGGTTAAGTTCCATCTTTGGTAAGCATTTCAGTGGTCAGTGGGAACTGAAGTGTTTGAAAGTACTGCAAATCCAATAATCAATTGTCCATTCTTCCCCAAACTGCACCAGGATGTAAAGTGGGTCATGGGGGTTATGTGTGTTGTTCTGTCGCTGCTGGACCTGAAATGAAGTGCCTTTAAGAGAGGATGTATGGCTTGAATTCAGCAGGAAGCCAGGGGGCCCAAAAAGGAACCTTTAGAGAAATTTCCCCCATTAAACAGTCTTTAAGAGGCTTGAGCTTAAATATAACAATCTTTTATTGATGAACAAACAGAAATTGTAA